GTGCCAGATCTGGACTGGTGGATGGGGCAGCACTCACCGTCCAACCCAATTTGGTGATTTCTTCCCGGGTTCTCAGACTTGTGTGAGGGCGTGCATTGTCGTGCAGGAGCAAAATTTCTGCTGGATGCTTGTGAGGCCGAACTCGGAAAAGCTTCTTGAGGGTTTCAGGGTCCTGATGTATGCATCTGAATTGATGGTCGCATCTCTTGGCATCACATCCACAAGAATGACCCCATCACTGTCCCAAAAGACGGTCATCATGACTTTTCTGACGGAGGGAGTTGTCTTGAATTTCTTCTTTCTCGGTGATTGAGGATGATGCCATTCCATTGACTGCCTTTTTGTCTCCGGCTCAAAGTGGTGTATCCAGGATTCGTCACCTGTAATGATCTGGGACAGAAAGACCTCTCCCTCAGCATCAAAACGCTCCAACAATTCAGAAGAAATTGTTTTCCTTTGAATCCTGTAGTCTGCTGTGAGACTTCATGGAACCCAATCTTGCGCACACCTTCGAATATCCGAGAGCCCAGATAATTACAATCACACTTCCATTGCTGACTGAAAGCTGTTGGGCCAATTGTCGAGTTGTGATGCGCCTATCCTCACGGATAATAGAATCCATGCAGTTCAACATGTGTGGAGTGGTGGCTGTGGCAGGATGTCCAGAGCGCGGCAGATCATGGAGCTCGGTTTCTTCACTTCCTGAAGCTTTAAATCTCTTAGCCCAGCTACCAACGGTGCTCCTATCGACTGCAAAGCTTCCATACACAGCACACAAACGTTTATGAATGTTCACCACAGTTTCTTTTTCTGCAACAAAGAATTCAACTACAGCTCCGCCATCTGTTGGAATCATTTGAAACTCTGTACACGAACGCGGGAAACATCAAATTTCAAGCATGTAGAAGTACACTTTTCTATCTTCATTATTGGATGAGAAAAAAAAGTGGGGCATTATTTAATAAGAAATTTGTTCCAAGAATCTCTTTCTTTTTCTCACTTCTGTTTTAGCGATTGCTGTTTTTCTTTTATATTCAATCTTATCTTCAGGTCTTAAAACTTCGCATACCGTATAGTGTATTAGAATATAGAGTGAACAAACCAAGAACTATTAACACTATAATGGACACTATTGCCATACGTGTTTCAACCTTAAGAGGTCATCATCAGTGGCATCAGGGAAATTAATACATATAGTCAAATGGTTCGAGCAAATTTCATGATTAAAATAAAAGGTAATTGACAAGATGGCTGCACTAGATGCTGTTATTCACAGGAGTAAAACTCGCACTTAGCTGTTGATTCCATTGTACGGTGGCCGTTGCTGGTCTCGGCGAGCTGTACTTGCGTCGTCTGTACCTGTGAACTCCAGAACCGTCGGCGAGAGACTGTCAGTTGGAAATGCATGGGTATATATAAACTTGAAATCAGGGTGGCCAACTATTGAAAAAATTACTTTCTCCTGTTTAATGCTAGGTCAAGTAATACGTTAGAATCTTTGGTGTTTTGTTCGTTGATGATGGCTTTTTGTTGACTATTTTTGTAGTTTTAAAATCCCTACCGGTTTGGCCAATATAGACTTGCTCGCAGCTTCCGCATTTCAATTGGTACACACCACTACTATTGTATTTGTTATCCTGTTTTCTTGAACTGCATTCGAATTTTATGGTGTTGCTAACTTTATATGCTACTTTTACATTTGTGTTTTTGAATATTTTAGTAAGTGTTCTAATGCTATTATTAAAAAACGTAAAGCTCGACCATAATTTATTAGTGGTTATATATATTAACATTGGGTTTAGGTGCTTTTATTAGATTATACGATCTTGCAATATCATTAAAGTTGTAACTGTTGTTGTGTCCTATTTCTTGGATGAGTAGGGTTTCTTTACCAAATTCTTCTTTGGAGACTGGTATTTTGTGCAATCTGTTAACAAGGAAATTGAATGCAGCTTGTTTGTGGGAGTTGGGATGGTTAGATGTTTTGTGTACAGAGAATGTGGGTTTTCTGTAATGCCCAATTGGAATTGTCAGGTGTCTATGAATAGCGAGGTCTAAAAAGTTAATTTTATTATTATTTTCTGTTTCTAAGTTATATTTTAACTTTTGGTGCATGTTGTTATGGTCATTTAGGATGTTTTCGGCTGTGGAGAAGGATTCGTCAAAAATAACTATATCATCTATGTATCTAGCGATATATTTTATATGTCGTTTTATTATGTTTGGGTAAAACTTCTTTTCAATTTCTTGCAAAAAGATCTCAGATAAAATACTAGAAATGGGGAAGCCCATAGGTGTACCGTCATTTTGCTGCCACCAAGTGTTATTGAACTCGAAAAAATTTTGTTTAACGGTTACTGCGAGTAGGTCACAAATTTCCTTTTGTGTTTCTTCGTCGTACTGTTCTAGTTTACATTTTATAATTTCTAATGTTTCTGTGATTGGGATATTTGTGTATAAATTTGAAATATCGAGTGTTAACATTCTATATGTGAGTTGGGCAATCATATTTTTGATACTTTCTCTGCATTGTATGGAATTCTTTACGTTATATTGGTATGGTAGATCTAAATATTGTTTTAGCAGTGCTGCCATAAATTTAGCAATTTTATATGTGGGAGAATTTCTATAATTTACTACAGGACTGATTGGGTTGTTTTCTTTGTGTAATTTGATTAAGGCATTAAGTTTTGGGGCTTGAGGTTTTATTTGTATATATTTGTAACGTTGATGATGACCTCTTGAGGTCGAAACGCGTATGGCAATAGTGTCCATTATAGTGTTAATAGTTGTTGGTTTGTTCACTCTATTATCTTCAGGTTTTTGTGAGTAAACCATTTTTTGTGTGCTTTTTTCTTCTCTATTAGTTTTTCTATTTCTTCATCCCATACTTTTAAATATTTTCTTCTGTGGTTTCTTTTAATTTTTCCTAATCTTTCATTCGCTGCTGATTGTAGTATGTGTTTGAGGTTCTTCCTCAATGTCTGTTTCATTTTCCATTGTGTTGTTTAAATAAAATTTTACTCTTTGTTGGTATAACCATCATATACTTTCCTCATTTGACAGTCTAATTTTGTAAAATTCTTCTGGTTTTTTGGTGGTTTGTTTTTTTGTCTTCGTATTTAGCCATCGAGGAGGGAATTCTACTTTTGTACTTAACAGATAATGGTCTGTCTCCAATTGAATACCTCAGAAAACTCTTGACATCTTGGATTACTTTTGGAGTTTTTAAATTTGTAATAACATAATCGATGATTGATCGTTGGCTGGTTATGTATATTTTTGTGTTTGAAATAAGTGTTCATGATTCTTAGCTGGTTAAATGTACAAAAATTATAAGTTTTCTACCATTGCTATTTTGTGTAGTACCCATTAGAGCAGTGATTCTGTTGTTTCCTACTCGGGCGTTCAAGTCACCCAATAGTATTACATAATCATTTTTGTTAACTTTATCAAATGCTTTTTGGGGTGTTTCATAAAAAAAATGTGTTTAATTTTTTACCTTCAACTGGAGCGTACAAGCTAAATATTGTTAAATGACCTCTATTTATTTTGAGCCTTGTTTCTACTATGCTGTCATTCCAAAATTTGTAGTATTCTATTTTATGAGCTAATGATTTGTGTATCCATATCATTACTCCAGATTGTGCCCTGATATTCCTGTTTACTCCACTATATATTATTGTATAACTTTCTGTTTCTTAAGTTCCTTTTAGCTTCTTTTTACTTTCTGTGATGGCTGCTATTTTGATATTATGTTCATTCAGGATTCTATCCAATTCTTCTTCTTTTTCTCCTAGTCCTCTACTGTTCCATGTTGCATATTTCAAGCGGTGTACCATTTTCGTGCTTGTGTTGTCATCAGAAGATCCATGAAGTTTTTTCTTGTGAGGCTTGCCAGTAATGTGGTATGTAATTATATCATCTAATTGATCTTCTTTGAAAGCAATTGCACGTACATTCCATGTAGCAATATTAAGTATTCCTTTCTTTTTCCATTTATTCGTATCCGTGTTTAAGCCTAGGTAGTCATCGTTAATAGCTGTACGGGTTGTATTTCTTTGAAGCTTGAAAGCAATATAATTGCCCTGCCCATTTGGTCACTGTCCAAAGAGCAGGCCCAGTGGTAGGAATGCTACCTCAGCCCCTGGACAGGCTTTATCTTCTTCTTTCTCATATCCCATTTTTGTCTTTATAGCGTCGGGGTTGATTGCTCAGTCCACCTCCTTTTTTTTGTGGTAGTTGTCTGGCCGAACAATCTTTGTTTCTCTGAATCATATTAAAAACCAAGTGTGGGTGATTGGCCCGACTGGTTGCCAGGTTTGGAGGGGCTGCCTCCTAAGCCACCTGGTTAGCCGTCCTCTGTGTTGAGGCTGAGGTTGGTCATTTCCTACCACCTCTATAGTTCTGGTTTTCCCGCCAGTACTCGGGTGGCTGATTGCAGTGGCATCCCACTGGGCGATGGGGTTGCTACACCGGACAGTCTTTATTCAGGTTGAATTCCCCCCAACCCGGATGAAATGGTTATACCGCCATGACTCGGTTGTCAGAGCCTCATTTGTGATAATGGTGCACCGCGAGAAGGTGAGGTTGACAGTAAGGTAGGAGTGACTATAGGACATGCGTCCTACCCCTTGCCAGAGCCAGCCAGTTGATCTGCTTAAGTACTGAAGCTCGACATGTCTATACCGACGTTTCGGTGTTAATTAGTTTCTTCATCGATGTCCACCGTCAAGATAGAATGAAGAGAGTGGAATTGCACAAGGAAAGTACTTGAGTTATACCGAAAGGTTTTCACTAAATATGTCAACACAAAAGTATCTTGTTCTCGAAGAACTTTATCCACAACACAATTCTTTCCAGACTGATGAAAGCCAATTGTGGACTGCTATTTATACCAGTGCAACAATGCCGACATAACCTCAGACGCAATGAGTAAAGGAAAAGTATCCAACCTTGGGCCGGGAAAACAAAGTTCTGTATCTGGGGGGTTATGATACCTAATCCCCTTCAAAGTAGGCCCCTTGTGACTCCACATACTTAGCCCAGCGGTCCTTCCATCGCTGGAAGCAATTCTGGAAGGCTTGTTTTAGAATGGTGTGCAGCTGCGCCGTCGCGTTCTGTATGATACCCTCGCGGCTGTCAAAACGGGAGCCTTCTGGTGGTGTCTTCATTCTCGAGAACAGCCAGAAAACACAAGGAGTCATGTCAGGAGAGTAGGGAGCCTGGCGAACCTGCAGAATGCCGTTCTTGGCCAGGAAACCCTGGATCAGGTGTGATGAATGAGCTGGGGCGTTGTCATAATGCAACTGTCAGTTGCGTGCATCCCACAGCTCTGGTCTCTTGCGCCGAACTGCATCACGAAGATGACGGAGGACTTATTGGTACTACTCCTTATTGACAGTTTGTCCTAGTGGTGCGTACTCATGATGCACAACACCCCGGTAATCGAAAAAAACAGTCAGTATCACCTTCACCTTGCTCCGAACCTGTCATGCTTTTTTGGGCCTCGGGGATGTTGGATGCTTCCATTGTGACGACTGGACCTTGGTTTCCGGGTCATATCCGTACACCCACGTCTCGTCACCAGTGATCACAGTCTTCAGGAACTCAGGATCTCTGTTGGTGCACTCCAGCATGTCCTGCGCGACCTCAAGGCGGAGTAGCTGCTGCGGTGAAAGCAGCTTGGACACATTTTGCCGCCACTCTTCGCATGCCCAAATCCTCAGTTAAAATCGTGTTTGTGGAACCTCTGCTGATCCCAACCTCATCAGCAATTTCCGGGATGGTCAAATGACGGTCCTCCATGATCAATGTCCGCACTTTGTCAATGACATCAGCATTTCGACTCGTTGACGGTCTCCCGGAACGCTGGTCACTGTCCGCCGACATGCGGCCATCTTTAAAGCGGTTGAACCACTCTTTAATTTGAGAGACCCCCCCCCATTGCATCATCGCCGGATTGTTTCCGCTTGGGTATACCCAAGTTTCTGACAAAACTTGATGCAGTATCGCTGCTCCAAGCGTCCCGTCATCTTGAGCGAAACAAGAATGCTACGAACACGTGTTACACCACCTCGCTATCTGGCAGCGACAGACACATCCGGCGGTGCTGCGAGGAAGCAAAACATCACGCATGTGCATGAAAGTCCCTTCTACCACAATGCTCAGTTTCCCCACCCTTTCGCCATTACTTACCGCGGAAAAAAATATAGTCGGATACTTTTTGACAGACCTCGTACAGTTCATTCAGGTGTGCGTAAGAAATGAACCTTATGGCATGCCAGCCGAGATTGTTGCAGGTGTTCGTATTTTATATATTGTTGTTATACAAGTCGTTGAATTTCTCTCGGTCCCAATCTGACACGCAGTCATTGTCCCAGTTTTCTGTGTAGTCATTGAGTCTTCTACATTGTTATATGAGTGGTCAAATTTGTCTCGGTCCCAATCTGACACTCAGTCATTGTCCAAGTTTTCTATGTAGTCATTGTCCCAGTCTTCTACATTGTTATACCAGTCATCAAATTCGTCTCTGTCCCAGTCTGAGACACATCTCTTATTTCAATCTTCAAATCTTCTTTAACAAAATCTGCTCATTACATCCTGCGTTGCTTAACAAAATCTGCTCATTACATCCTGCGTTGCCAAGCTATACATTTTGAAAACAATTTTTTAAGCTACTGTAACGTTCTATTTTGTATAGATTCGTTCGGATTTAGTCTACTAATGTGGTAGTGTGGCTTGGCATGGAGCAGGGCAAGTTCCCAAGGATGCTGGTGTCAGCTTAAACATGCTCAGCTAATATGATAGATAATACGTCCATGAGGCTACAACTTGTTTCATATACTATCACATTTATTTCTAACACTAAGTTCTACATAAATTTCACATTTAATTTAAAACATTACCTTCTTAATTTAGGCTAATTCACTTTATCCTTAGTACACTCTAATTCCGTAATTTTGAATATTTATTAATCCACCCATACTAAACTTGAATTCATCTCCTCAGCGCTCACCTGTTAAAAGTAGCCCGATCAGCTGCACCTTGCTCATGATGACTCTAGTAACCTCCTGCTATCTTCGAAGCTTTGGCCCTTCTGGTCTCGATCTCTCTTCAACTTCCTTTCACAACCTTTCCGTTAGC